AAAGCATATGTCCATAATGTAGAGTAGTGTTTCTCAGCCTTGGCCACTTGAAGACTACCCTTGCTGGCTGGGGAATCATGGGAGTTGAAGTCCACACATCTTCAAGTGGCCAAGTTTGAAAAACGCTGTGCTGTCCAGACAGTTTACAGTTAATGGGATTTGGGATAGTTACTTAGGAATTGTGAGCTGTTCCCTTAAGGGAATGCATCATGGTAAATGTAGTTAGAGGTATCCTGGGAAATGTAGTCCATGTCACATGACCACATCTGTAAACCTAACCCTAACCCTAACCCAAGGAATTTGCCTTCATGTAAATACTCTCAGTGTACATAAAAGATATATTCATCAAGAGTCAAGAATCATAATGTATAACACTTAACGATAGTCATAGGGTACAATACAAGTACATAGGGTACAATGATAGTACATAAGGTAGACTGTTTGAGGTTGAAGCTATAACAATGGAGTCGGGTAGCGAGTTCCAGGCATTGACCACTCTGTGGCTGAAGTCACATTTTCTGCAATCGAGTTTGGAGCAGTTTACATTGAGTTTGTATCAGTTGTTTGCCACTTCTCGTTGTATTGCCAGGCGCAAAGGGCTACATGTTAAGTTTCCGTTCAAAATATTCATTACTCAAGCCTATATATATATATATATCCAAGAACCTAGTCAACTAAAATTGAGCACTAAATGGGCACCAGATAAGGTTCTGTGGAATTCCAGGTGGGTTGGACTTAAAACCATTTGTAGTAACGAAATGACTCTGGGCTGATGACTCATTTTTAATTCCACCACCCAGCACTCCTACAGGTATAGTTCTCCCAATCTGGGTGGTTCTGCTCTTGCCAATCGGATTTCATTAGTCATTGGATAAGGCAGCAGTCTTGCTGAATCACCACACGGGCAGCTTCGTCATCTGCTGATCTGAAGCGATAGCAACCCCAAAAACTCTCAGGACTTATGTGTGAATGAGATCCAGGGCTCTACATCCCCGCTTCTAATAAACCTTGACCCAAGGGCAGGACCAAGGCACTTGTAGGGTTCTTGAAACATAGAAGATTCCCAGAAGAAACTGCCTTTCTTCCACTTCAAGCAAAGAGCTAGTTGCACTGACATTGTGAGGAGGAGACGCTGGTCTCCATGGAGATGGTTTATATATCGGTACCCAAACTACCTGCTCTTAAAGCAATGAGAACCATTTCGATGGAGTGTGATAGTAAGTAGTTTTGTTGAACACTATGGGCAAGGATAATGACTACCCTTTGACATTTTGACATGTGATATTTGAGGGGCAGCCATAAAGAAGAGCGGGGGAGGGGAGTCAACTTATTGTCCAAAGCACCTGAAGGGCAGGACAAGAAACAACAGATGGAAACTGAACAAAAAGAGATGCAACGTAGAACTAAGGAGAAACTTCGTGACAGTAAGAACAATTAACCAGAAGTTGCCTTCAGAAGTTGTGGGTGCTCCAATACTGGAGGCTTTTAAGAAGGGACTGGACAGCCATTTGTCGAAAACGGTCTACGGTCTCCTGCTTGAGCAGGTGGGTGGACTAGATCACTAGAAGACCTCCAAGGTCCCTTCCAACTGCTATTCTATTCTATTCCTATTCTACTGTATTCTTCTAATTTCTATTTCTATTCTGAAAGGGAAATGTAGGTTGACCTTCTTTCTGCAAGACTGAGTTCTCCCTTGATCAGAGTATGATGAATTTCTTGGGAGTGCAGTTTTTGTAGAACAGCAGCACTCGGTGCCTACAGAACAGGGGCCCTCCAACTTAGCAACGTTTAAGACTTGTGGACTTCAACTCCCAGAATTTCCCAAGCCAGCTACGATCTCCAGGTCTTGAAGTTGCCAAATTGAATGCAAGTGTGGATCCACTGATGGGATCCAAAAGGGTTTGCAGCGAAAGAAATATGCTGACAAGATCTGTGGCGTTCAGGTTCCAGGTGCCTTCAGGGGTGATATTCTGATCTCTAGGTGCCCTTCTCAAGAGAAAGACTCTTTAAATCAGGGGTCCCCAAACATGGCAACTTTAAGACTTGTGGACTTCAACTCCCAGAATTCTTAAGTCTTAAAGGTGCCAAGTTTGGAGCCCTCTGTCCTATAGAAGTTCTGGGATAGTCATAAGGTTTGGCAACAAGGCAATTACTTATGCAGGCAGCAAAACCAGAATTGGGTGTTTAGAACGTAGCATTAGATCTGCCCTGGTGCGATTGTCCTCCACCCAAGTTCTCTTTCCACACAAGGTAACTCTCTTAAGATTTTGCAAGGCCGCCAACTCTTATGACCTTGAACCCAAGAAGGAAAGACATCTGGACCGATCTCAGGTGGAATCAGCCTAGGTCCTGCTATTGAAGAGGGAATTCCACCAGGGAGGAAAGTTGTGGGCATTGTGCTCTGGTGCCACACTTGAGTTTGCAGATGGGAATATTCATCATCCCCTGTGCCAGATGACAATGGGGCAAGCATCACCGCGATGGAAAAGCTGGGATTCTGAGCATATGCTGTCGTTTTCCGGTTGCCATGGGGATCATGCATAAAAAGGGAGAGTCGTAGCAAGGCAGTGTGATCTAGTGAGTTAAGCTCCATGCAAACAAGGCTGAGTATCGTCAGCTTTAAACCCCGGCTCTTTGCTCGCTTGTGGTGGCCTTGGATGGTTGAGGGGGGGGATAGGTCCCTGCCCCCTTTGGCTATCCATTTAGAAAACCGTTGTAAGAATAGCTCTGTCGTGGGGGTGTGGACGGGATCAGCCAGCATTTGTGAAAAATCCTATGGTTGGCTGCCAGTGAAATCTCTCTTAAGGGTTAGGAGAAACTCCCTGGTTTGATTCTCTGGGGCATGGGCCTCTTCTCCCGTAGCTTTAAAGGTAGCTTGGTGTAGGGCAGTGATGGCTAACCTTTTCGGCACCAAGTGTCCAACGCATGCGCGCCAGAGCCCCCAAGACCGGCTGGCTGCTGGGAGGTGCGCTCATGCATGCATGGCGAAGCTGAGCTGGGGCAAAAGCTCACATGCCTCCAGAGAGGGCTCTGTATGCCACCTCTGGCATGCGTGTCATAGGCTCTCCATCGCGGGTTTAGGGGGGAAAACTCTTCTTCCCCCAATAATGTCCTAAAAGGGTCAGAGTTCACAACTCCCCTGTCGCTTCCCTCGACTGTGTAGGCCAAGGGTCTCCAAACTTGGCAAGTTTAAAGACATGTGGACTTAACCGCCCAGAATTCCTCAGCTAACACGAGGAATTCTGGGAGTTGAAGTCCACAAGTCTTAAAAGTTGTCAAGTTTGAAGACCCCTGGTGTAGGAAGAGGGGCTTCTACTGCTACCTGAGCACAGCCGAGTGAATGGATCCTTTCAGGTGTAATTTGGCAGCCGGGGGTGATCAGGAGCCTTTCTCCCTCCATTTTCGGGAAAGGAGGAAGGGATGGAAAGCCAGCAGCAGGAGCGCAGGTTCCCCCTCTACACACAAACACGTACACGTACACACACACACATGTACACACACACGATGATGGAATCTAGCGGTCAACTCTGAGGCTGACCTGGCTGAGGCCATTTTGAGGCTTCAGAGTTGCCACACTGGACCCGGGGAGTAGAGATAATTGGGATGTAATAGCCAAAATAAAATACTTTCTCCTGGGAACCAAGGACATCCCAGCAGGTACTTGGAAGGAGGGGGAGGAGGTCACCTAGCAACTGGACTGTATCCTGATTGGACCATGTACCTGATTGATTGGGGAAGGGGGAAAACTACTACTATTATTTAGGTGAAAACCTTTCAGTGTCGGTTTTCACCAGCCTGTGCCAATATGATATATGCAATAAAGCTGTTCTTTGAGGAATTTACCTGCCTCGGAGTTCTGCTTGTTATGCATCTATTACTACTAACCCTTTCAAGTTGTCTAGTAAAATTCTTTTCTGGGAATGATGTTGAAAACATAAAAAAATATTTGCCTCTGCTTCCAGTGTTGCAATTCGGCTAGGAAAATGGGCCAGTTTATTTTGAAGGAGTTGTGTGCTAGATCCGGAGTCGCCAACCTTTTGAACCTCAGGGACTATCAAACTCAATTTTAGATCCCAGGGACCACTAACCGGTTCTGTGGGCGTGGCCTAATTCGTGGGCGTGGCTTGGTGGTCATGTGACTGGCTGGGCATGGCTTGTATGTAAATATTATAAATACTTATACAAATATTGATTTTTTTATTAAATAAAGAGCAACTTTTACCCAAAATCAGGCAAAACAGGCAGGCAGATTGAGTTGCTCACAGAATCATTCAGGGATCTATCTATCTGCCATCGGCTAGTTCAGTCTGTCAAATTTGCTTGCCGTGAGTCTGCACTGAATTTGCTTACAAGCAAACCTTCATTTTTAAGGGAGGTTCGGCTGTACTGAAAGCAGAGCCGAAGATCTAAAGACTAGCTAGAAAGCAAGAAATCCAACCATTTCCTGCTTCCTAGCTAATCTAAATCTCCGGCACAGCAGAACAGCTGATGGTTGGAAAAAGGAAAAATAGCAATTTAGCAGGCAAGTTTACCGGGTAAGGAATGAGTGGGTGGGGAAGGTTCCCGCAACATGTGGGCTGCACAGCCTTGTGTTTCTGGGCAGCCTGGATTAATTGCTTTGTGGGGGTGCTCTAGGGGTGAGATTTTTCTGCAGCCCATCAAAGTTTTCTCACGGCCCATCAGTTGGCAACCGCTGTGCTAGATCACACACTTTTCAAACATTTGTCTACATCCAGCGTGTGACATTTTCATAACAGTAGCTGTATAGAAGGCTGAACGTTCATCTTTTTGCAATTTCAAAGAAAAACCTTAGGCAAGACTCAACTGGTGTTGTAATGAATCATTTTGACATCTTTTTTTTTTAACCAAAAAACAACAACCCCACCCCGATTCCAATCAAAAAGTATTAAAATCCTGTGTTGATGTTTTCTCATGGTGAGGTAGGATGGCTAAAACAGATGGATATGTTCCTAAAGGATTCCTATTTTCTCTCCCCCCAGGTTGTATATTACACCGAAATGTACAAAATATTTGGCGAATTAACAGAACAGATTGATGAGCCTGACTTAACGGATGAGCAGAGAGAAAAAGAGAGCGAAGCCAAGCTCAACGAGTTGAGGGCCCTCTCCATCGTGGCGGATGACTGATCTCCGGCTTATGAATCCTTCGTGGTGACAGCTGATGACGGAGTGGATGAAGACAGGAAGTTGAATATTACTTCCGATTTCTGAAAGCTTGAACCCTTTAAAGCAGAGGTCTCCAACTGTGGCAACTTTAAGACCGGTGGCCTTCAACTCCCAGAGTTCCTCAGGCTGAGGAACTCTGGGAGTTGAAGGCCACCGGTCTTAAAGTTACCACTGTTGGAGAGCCTTGCTTTATAAACCCTTGTTTTAACTCACCTGTTAATCCACCAATCCTTGTCCACCTGTTTTAATCTAAATTGTTATTTGCCGCTGGCTCTTTACATCCTGAATGTCTTTTATCTGTATGATTAGGGGACCGGAGGCTAAAACATATGAAGAACGGTTGCAGGAACTGGGTATGTCTAGTTCAGAGGTCCCCAAACTTGGCAACTTTAAGACTTGTGGAGTTCAACTCCAGCTGGCTGGAGAATTCTGGGAGTTGAAGTCCACAAGTCTTAAAGTTGCCAAGTTTGGGGAACTGTGGACTCGTCTAATGAAAAGGAGGAGTACGGATGACATGATAGCAATGTTCCAGTATCTCAGGAGCTGCCCCAAAGAAGAGGGGGTCAAGCTATTCTCCAAAGCCCCTGAAGGCAGGACAAGAAGCAACAGGTGGAAACTAATAAAGGAGAGAAGCAACTTAGAACTAAGGAGAAATTTACTGACACTTAGAACAATTCATCAGTTGCCTCTCCAACACGGGAAGTTTTTTAAAAGAGGTTGGATAGCCATTTGTCTGAAGTGGGGTATGGTTTCCTGCCTAGGCAGGGGGTTGGACTAGAAGACCTCCAAGGTCCAATTCTGGTATTCTATTAATGACAACATGGCAAGATTCTCATATGGAGTCCTGCGTTGAGAGGTTTGTGGAGTTTGGAAAAAAAAATGGAAGAATTGACCCTTATAAAATGATAAGCGAACAAGCTTTTTAATTCAGTCTTTCTGAAATCGGGGTCCATCTGACAGCTGAATTGTGAGTGGCATCCTCATTGAGTGTAGTTACTCCAAGAAATACACACACACACACACACTCTTCTGGTGTTTAAGGAATGTCATCATTGCACTGAAGCCTCATTCTGTGAGAGGTCCTTGTCTGGTTTGTGTCTTTTCGTGGCATTGAAAGCCGTCTCAACATAGTGGCATCCTTTAAAAACGGATTGGTAAAGTAGCTTAATCCTACTGAATGTAATATAATTCTTAGAAGCATCAATTGTGATTTTGGAAGAAGAGGAAAGGGCACAGATTATAACTTCCCTTGATACAATCTACATGAATATTATACTTTGCACCCTGTGCAGGTACTTCACTCCTGAGATATTATTTACAGGGAAAGCAATTTGTTTCCTCAGCAGGTTGGTGAAATCCTTTGGCCATCATATAAAGGTGGCTGAGATTTAAACTAATAAAATGTTCTTCCTCTTGGTGGTGGCTAGCCAGGAATGCAGGTTTGCCTTTATTTTCCTGGACTAACTCCCGGTTTGTTTTTATTGGTGCCTTCCAACTGTTGTCTTGCCTGTCTTAATTATGATTAATGAGACTATTGTAGATGATTCTTTTGGTTCTTCTGTAACCCCTACTTCTAATTTTATTTTTTCAAAAAAAAAATTATCTTATTGGATTATTTGACTCTGTTTCTTTGTGTACCAGAGTAGAGATGCACCCATTACTGATGACTGATACATGAAGCTGCCTAGTTAATTTTGCAAAGCTGTTTGAAGGCAGCCAGAAATAACTTGACATTCTCTGTTTAGGTCACATTACATGCATTTTAAGAGTTGAAGTATGGGCAACATGTTATTAATTACGGCCAAACTCAACCACTCTTGTAAACATGACAACAAAACAGCCTGGAAGGCTTGTACTATATTGGTTTTTCTTTCCCCATATTTGTAAACTACACCATAGCACTTTCTCAAATATTGTCTCAAAGGTGCTTTTTCAGAAGGCAAATAGAGTTTCTTGTTTTTTATTTTTGAAGACATTTCGCTTCTCATCCAAGAAGCTTCTTCAGCTCTGACAGGATAGTGGGGAATGGAAGGATTTCTACTCCTTGCAGACAGCTGGTCATTTGCATCCTTTTTAGAGGGTCATTGAAGCACTTGGAGGTTATCTGTGTCCTCAGGGTCACCTGAATAGTGTGGGAGTAGGAACAGATTTCCAGAGAGAAAAACTGAAGACTACAGGAACCAAGAGCACCAGTCAGGTGACCCTGAGGACACAGATAAAGCTCCAAGCGGCCTCAACCACCCTCTAAAAGGATGCAAATGACCAGCTTGTCTGCAAGGAGTATAAATCCTTCCCTTCCCCACCCTCCAGTCAGAGCTGAAGAAGCTTCCTGGATGAGAAGCGAAACATCTTCAAAAGAAAAAAACAAGAAAGTCCAGTGGCCTCCTGAAAAAAAAAAAGCACCTTTGGGACAGCCATGACCTGGAGGACGGAGAATCTCTACAGAGTTCTCAAATATTGTGCTTTTTTCCGGCTGCCTCCCTAAATCAACCCAAGCGACCCCTTGAGCGGCCGCATGCCAGCTGTGTGTGTGCGTGGAATGAAAGGCAGAGCCCGAGAGCTGCGTCTGGGCGCAAAAAAAGAAGATGAGGCAAAGCACATTTCCAAGTGAGGAAGAGACTTTTATAAAAGTAACTTGGCCAGTTAAATACAAGTTGTTATCACATTTACAGACTAAAAGCAACACATTCAGAAGTGACAGACCACCTGAGGGTGGGAGAGCAGGCGGCCGGGGCAAATTGCAGCGAACACCTACTGGAGGAAGGCTTGAGCCCGGCCACTGCTTTGCATAGGCCCACCAGCTACTCTGCTAAAGTCTACCCCCGAGGAAACCCATGGCCTCTAGCTGTCCCAGCTGGGCACTACCGCCTTCCCAACTGGAAGTTCAGCGGACCTTCCTGCTGCCCAAATCCCAGACCCTCAAAAACTCAGATCCGCTGAAGGGGAGTTTCACTTTTGTCGGAAGGCTACTGATGGAAAAAAAAAACTCAATGGGTCCCAGAGCTCTCCGAGCTACGATTAGCAAGTAAAATGACTAGGGGGTGGAGGAGGAGGAGGAGGAGGAAGAGAGCCTCGTGGTGTGCGTTTGTTTTTCTTTCTTAAAATGGCTAAGATGCTGGGCCAAGTGGGTATGGTGTTCGCGCTCCAGCCACAGCACCCGAGCAGAGCTAGCAAGCCGCTCTGAATGCACGGCCCAGAAAAGGCAGGGGCAGGAGCTGCTGGCCGAGGGCTAGCAGAAGAAAACCTGCCAGCCGCGAGGAGATCATTGCCATCTGCCCCCCCCCTCCCCCCCCCCAGGCCCCAGCGGGCCCAAGGCGGGCAGAAGGCCACCCCCCCCCCCCCCCCTCAAGCTGGACGTAGAGGGGACAGGAAGTGGAAGGGGCTTAAAAACATCCCCATGCAGCAGCGCAAAGAGGCTAGCGATGCCTGGAGCAGTCAGGACCTGCATGGCTCTCGGGACGGAGCGGACGTGCCCAACCCAAGGCTTGCTCTTGGCCAACAGCCCGAAATACCTACCCTGTCGCTTCTGCCCTCGGACACGAGACCATCCAAATGCCTACCTAACGGGTATTTCTTTAAACAAGAAGGAGGGGGGGGGAGTTTCCAGCAGATGTGGGATTGGTGGCCCTTCTCCCCCCCCCCCCAAAGCCTGGGGTGAGGAGGGGTGGTTGAGGATGAAAGCCGGCTGCTGCAGCCTTTCACATGGTGGCAAAGAAGTTGATGGTTTCAAAGGCTTTAACACCCAATTCCCCCACCCCACGAAAGCCGCTTAACTCACAGCCCCAAAACATCAAACCAAAGGTGTACTGATCGTTCCACCTGCCCAGATCTCTGGGGAGCCATCAGTTGCTGGAAACGGAGGGCGACGTAGCTTCCTTTTTCTCTAAGCAGTTATTGGTCTGAAAGAGAGAGAGGTGGGGGAGAGGAAGGGGGAAACAGTGACGACAAAGACGGTTCATGGTCTTTCCTGACAATCAGAGCAGTGGCCGCCTCCATGAGCGATGGAGGCTCCATTGGAAATCTTCAAGGAGAGATCGGACAGCCCCTTTGTCCAGAATGGTACGAGGTCTCCTGCTTGACCGGGAAGTTGACTAGAAGACCCCTAAGATTCCCTTCCAATTCTCTTGGCCGTTACTCTAGCCTGATCAGTTTGTCTTTCAGCAACTATAAATACCTTGGTTTGAACTCATTGCCATAGTTTGCTTAGCCATAATCCTGATCGTGTGTCAATTCTTGATACACTAAACCTGTGGCACACTAAACAGGTGGCATACCTCACTGCGCATGTGCGTGCCTCACAGCTGATTTTCAGCCAGTTTGGGGCCTTTTTCGGCCTCCCAGAGGTTTGAGGAAGGCTTCTGCAGGCTCAAAACTAGGCCCGTTTCATCACTTCCTGTTTTTTCCGGAAATATGGGAAGTGATGAAACGGACCTAGTTTTCGGCCTGAAAAGCCTGCAGAAGCCTTCCTGAAGCCTCTGGGAGGCCAAAAAAGGCCTCAAACTGGCCAAAAATAAGTTGTGTTGCGCAGTGCAGGTAAAGGGACAACGAGGGTGGCACACAATTTTTGGCACAGGAGCCCAAAAAGGTTAGCCACCACTGCACTAAGCTGTCAAAACCTTCGTTTAGAGCAGTGTCTGGACTGATTCTCTTTATGTCCCAAGCAGTCACATGATGCATCATTATTTCAGGCACGACTGGAGAAAGTATGTAATTTAACGGTTCCCTCTCCCCAAATCCCTGGGAGAAAGATTTTCACCTCTTCATCACACTTCTGTGAGAGGCTGTCTTAAAAATAGATCAATCTCATAGCTGATTTTTTTTTGCAGCCGCAATGTGAAAAAACTTCGTGATTTCTCCACAGGTGGAAATTTGCTCTTGGAAAAAGTTGCACAGAGGGGAAAAAACCTGGGCAGCATTACTAAAACCCTGATCCCCCCATTTGGTGTCTTTTGGTGCCAAGGTCTTCCCCCAAACACCTTTGTGGATAGCCCACCAGACTCCCAACCTCATTGGTCATGCTCCTCACCCCAGCATAAATGAGACCTACAATGTTGCAAAGCGAAGCATCAACTCAATTTAGTTTTGACAACTCCTGCAAACCCCAACACAGACACAGAAAGAAATTCCAGCTGCTATCCAGGCTTCTATTTAGGTAGGCCTTACCATCCCAGAGGAATATTTTTAAGGGTGCTGCAGGGAGCATTGTGTGAAGCTAGAGAGATTTGGGGAAGCAACACCACCAATTTTTCATTTTTTTCTGGGTCACGTCTATTTTGTAGCAGTAGCAACACATTGCTCTCCAAAAACAACGGAAAGAAAAATGCCCACCTTCTTCCCCAAAATGGGAGAAACTTATATAGGTAGCAACGTTTGACATATTCCGGACCAAAACCTAACAAAATTGTAATTTTACTTTGACAGACCAGCATATATGAACTATTTTAAAGTATTGTCCAATAGAGGGACAAAATCAAATACCCTCATTTTCTGTCTTTTTTAAGCAGGTCGTCTGGGGCCAAGTTCGAAGTAGCAATGCCACTGACCAACATGAACAAAAAAATCCAAGAGGCCACAGCTGTCATATTTGCCTGTTGTCTTAAGCACACTGAAGTCAATGGAGTTGTGTGTGTCATACCCTCATTGGAGTCTCAATCCATTGGCTGAGGAGGAAACTGGGGAAGGGCAAGTCCGGCTGGGCAGAGCAGGGGAGAGGTAGAACAAGGGAGAGGGAGTTCAGAGGAAGACCCAGGCCCACCCCTTCTTCATCCTAGGGCACGCAGGGAGGAACTAAGAAGAGAGCAACGTGGGTTGCGTGGCTTATGGGGGAGGAAAGGGCCCTGATTCCCTTCACAAGGCACACCTGGGAAGGGAGTTTGAAGGAGAGGCAGTTTGGGAGGGGCATTTGTTGGAAACAAAGTTTATCTCATGTTGGATGCTGCTATGTGGGTTCCTGGCATCCTCCCACCTGGTTTGATTTACTGCCATGTTACTTCCCTTCTGGAACTCCTTATCTTGCCCTGCTGGATTTATTACCTTATCTTGTCTTGCTGAATTCATAGTTTAAAGTTTTCTGTTTATAATGTTTTGGACTGGAATATCGGTTCCTGGGAGAGTTTTTCTCCTGACTGGCAGGTAACTGGGACATTGGGGGCAAAGTTGGAGCTAATAGAGACCCCTACTTATTATTCTGCCTGTGTTGCCTTTGCGCCACGCCCCGAATTATCACAGATTGACTTCTGTTCAATCACACCCGATCTGGAAGCCCTATTTTAACCATCAGTTCTTCAGAGAACCTGAATTTTCTTAGGTTCCCAAGGCGTCCTTCCAAAGGGATGAGAGTTTTCCCACTCTCTACTAAGAGCTGCAGAACTGCCCACACAGCCTAGGAGTCTCTGAGCAGAGGTTCAGTTCTAGATCCATCAAACCATAACTGTTTGAAGATCAACACTCTAGATTTACTATAAAAGCCCCACTGGGTTCAATGGTCAGCCTACCTTCTCAATTATCCTCTGGATTTCCAGTTGCAAAGGAACCAGGCGCTTTTTATTCTCCTGTAGCAGCCTTTGAAATTGGGATTTCTGCTTTTCGGATGCTTTCGACTGCTCTTCCATCTCAGTCAGGCGCTTCTGTAATTCCTGCACTTCCAGCGTCAACGCCTTGTTGGAAGCCTCCGTTGATGAAAAGCGAAGCTGGGTCTCTTCTGCAAAATGCAGTCGATTGAAATTGTTTTCCAAGCAAAATGTTAAGAGAGAGGAGAGAAGTGTAAGTCAAACTAGTCAAAACAAGGGAGAGCCAAAATTGGCAGTCTCTCATTGGAGGAAAACCGATTTATGTACAAAGAGCAATTACGGTAATCTGTAAGTATGGAATCTGCAGGGGGGGGGCAGATTTCAGGGCAGGAACCCTTTGACTTTCACAATTCTACAGATACATTTTAGCAATAGCAATAGCCCTTACACTTATATACTGCTTTTCCAGTGCTTTCCAGCCCTCTCTAAGCGGTTTACAGTCAGCCTCTTGCCCCTAACCATTTGGGTTCTCGTTTTACCCGCCTTGGAAGGATGGAAGGCTGAGTCAACCTCGAGCCTGGTAGGATTCGATCTGCCAAATTGCAGGCAGCTGGCAGTCGGCAGAAGTAGTTTGCAGTACTGCACCCTCACCACCACGCCACCGAGGCTCTTTTCCAAACCTCTGGAGGGTATTTTAAATGCATGGGCCTGTCTGTCGCCTGCCACTCTCAATATGCATCTATCCCTTTGTAAGCTGCCTAGAGTCGCTATGAGCAAGTAGGCGGCTACGTAAATTTTCTAAATAAATAAATCTCCATTTTCTGGATGTTCGTGCAGATAGAAGTTGATTCCCTCTCAGTTCCCCTTAAAAGAGTCCCACTCTTTTCACTCCACATCCGCTGCCCAGAATGGACGTTCAGTTCTTGCTCAGGAAGCCATTCAATTCTATAATACATAATACATGCGTGTTTGGTACCCCTTGCATGCAATCAAGAGTGTGCCCAATAAATACAATATTTTGGGCTTGAATCGTGCTTTCGTATATGCTGTGTTTTCCCCAAAATAAGACCCTGTCTTATATATTTTTTTTGTCACCAAAAAAGGCACCAGGTCTTACTTTCGAGGAGGGACATTTCATCCACTGATTCACCTCATTTGTGCATGTTGCCCTCAGCCTCTTTTTCACTGTCAAGAGGCCTTCAGGAACGTCTGCAGCAAGAAAGGCCGGTAAGGCTCTCTCCTGGAGGGAGAGCTCCAATAACAGAGGTCTGGATCGATCCTGAGCTGTTATCGGCTGCAGAGGCCTCCAGGAAAGTCTTGCCAGCTGCAGAAAAAATGGCCCGGCAAGGCAGGTGTCGGGGTGTGTGAGGCCTGGTTGCAACTGTCTGAAAGTAAGTAGTGGCCCCCACATCCTCACCCTACCTTAATTTTTACCCGTGCAGCCTGGAGTTGGCGGGGTCTTAATTAGGACTTACTTTCAGGGTAGGTCATATTTTGGGGGAAACACGTCGAGTTAGACTGCAAAATTCCTAATGACCACTAGATGGCAGCAAGTGCATCCTTTTGCTGCCGACTGCCACCTAAAATCTGGTTTTGCTGCCAATTAGCAGCCTAAAATCTGGTTAACCCAGAACATACAGCTGATCGATCGAAGCAGCTCCTCATAAGTACAGGTGGTAATCAAGGTGAACTGCCAGGAACCGTGGTGGCTGGTTGTAGGTGAATTCAGTCTATCAAGCCTCCTCCACAAGCACTCACCCAACTTTAGCTCCAGGGTATGGATTTTATTTTCCAGGTAGAGTCGGCTGTTTTCTGTCTGCTCTGCCTTTTCCAGGAGCTTGCTCACATTAAGGACAGCCCCATTGTATGGAATCAAATTGGTAGACTGAGGCTCTCGGGTAGATTTGGTGCAAGAAACCGATGGGCGCAAGAAATGGAGGTTGCCTGCAAGAAGAAAATCGCATTTATCCCGCTTGACAATCAAGAACACCTTGATTTTGGGAATGGGGGAGCAAAAGGGAGGAAAAATACACATGGATCCGTTCCCCGCTGCAGGGCTGAAGCGTTATTCTCTCCCTCACCAACTGACCCATCCTGAGAGAGAATTCTCCTTTCCCAAAGCGAGCCGCATCTGAGTGGGAGGAGTTACCGTGAAGGAAATCCTCACATACCTGGGACAAGGGTAAGTCCTTGACTTATGACCACAACTGAGCCCCCCAAGTTCCCTTGCTAAGCGAGACAACGGCCAATGGATTCTCCTCCCTGGGTTACAACTTTTCTTGTCCCTGTTGTTAAGTGAGTCTGGCTTCCCCGTTGGCTTGGCTCGTCAAGAAGGTTGCAAAGGGGGAAATCACATGACACACACACACCCCAGGAACCGTCATAAATATGAGTCGGTTGCCAAGGGTTTGAATTTGGATGACCTGACCCTTGGGCTATGCTGCAGTGGTCATTTAAGGGCAGCAAAACGATCATTAGTCACTTTTTTCAGTGCCGCTGTAACTTTGGTCACTAAATGAACTGTTGTAAGTCAAGGACTACCTGTATTTTGTTGGGAGGAGACGCAAATGTTAAGACACGCCACCACCACCCTGCCGCCCCCCCCATCCAGACCTCCTCCTGGCAGACAGAGGGCTCCATAAAACCCATTGCTCAACTGGAGCAAGCCTAACTCAAAGAAAGCAAGCTGTCGTGGCAAGCCACCCCGAATGGCCCATATAAAGTCCCTTCCCACCCCATACCTGTAACTCACCTGCCAGTTCTTCCTCTCCGAGGCCTGCCTCCGTCCCTTCCTGCCGGCTGTAGCGCAGGCTGCGGTAACGGCACACAAACTGCGTCACCACCCTGTTCACCAAGCGCTTCACCTACCAGCAGATGAGACCCCCCCTTAGGAGCGGCCCTGGGAAATGCCGCAAAGAAACCGCCGTGCCCACGGGGTCCGGAGGGCAGAGGCCAGCTCCTTTCCACGCTCACCTGCTCTTTGCAGAGGTGCAGTCCCAAGGTGAGCAGGATCTTGTCCATATCCTTCCTATGCAGGTAGCCGCAGAAATTCAAGTCGAAGTAAA